GCGCCCGCCCCGCGCGGCGGCGCGCCGGCGCCCGCGCCGGCGCCGGCGCCGGCGGCTGCCGCCTCGTCATCGTCGAGGGCCGCTAGGTCATCGGCTGCCACGTCAGAAACCGCGTTCTGCAGCAGCGCCTCCTCGCACCTGTCCATCCGCGCGCGGCGTTGCGAACGGTCCGGGCCCATGCAGGCGTCAGTTGGCCGGCCCATCATGCTGAGCTGGCGCTGCGGCGAGCCCGCGAGACACCAGGGACGGCATCCGGCAAACGTGCATCGGGGTGAATGCACCGCAATGACGATCCCCTTGTGACCAAATCTTAACCAGCTCTGGCCCACCTGCTGCGGACTGCCTCCAAGAAGGCCTCAAAGCCGGGCGTCGCCTCCGCCGCCCGCTTGGCTTCAGGGCTGAGGTCGCGGGGCGCATACTGGGTGCTGTCCGGCACGGCACGCCCGCCGGTCGCCTGCGCGGCGCAGTTCGCAAATACAGGCGTGTGTGTGTGTGTGTGTGTGTGTGTGTGTGTCTGTCTGCTGCTCGCTGCTGCCAGGTGCAAAGCAGCGAAGCCTGTGGCAGGCGGGGGCGCATGGGATCGTATGGGCGTACTGACGGCACGCCAGCGTCCGGGCTGTCGCTCCCGGCACCTGGCCCCTGGCCCCTGCGCGCGCGCCCTGCCAGCGCCGTCAGACCTGCACGCCCTTCTCCGCCAGCCGCGGCACCGCCTGGGCCCCCGCCTCGCGCCGCGCGCGCCGCGTGTCGTAGTTTGGGTCCTTGAACGGCCGGCACTCGCTCTGCGCGCTGCTCCACAAGTCAGACGCGTCCACATCCACCAGCCGGGGCGCCCGCTGCTGCTGCTGCTGCTGCTGCTGCTGCTGCTGCTGCTGCGGTTGAGTCGATGCCGGCTTGCCTTGATCCTGCGGAGGCTGCTGCTGCTGCTGCTGTGCCCGCTGGTGGCGCTGCCGGCTCGCCACCAGATCGCGCAGGGGCCGCTCCAGCACCAGAAGCGCCGGCGGCCGGGGCGGCGGCCCGGCGACCGCCTCCATCTCTGCCTGCATGGAGTGCATGTTGTTGTTGCGGCGCTGAGCTGGGCGCATGTTAAGGGCCGCATGCAAAGGGCCCGCATGCCAGAGTGGGCATGCAAGGGGCCGCATGCTGAGCGCACATGATGTGCATGGGCGATCACAATTGGACATGCATGCAGCAGCCTCCTCGAGACTGCATCGCGCTGTGCCGCTGGCTTCGAACCCACAAAGCACAAGACGCATATGCACACGCGCGTGCGTGGTAGCAGCAACGCACCTCCGTCCCCTGGTCGACCCACGGCTGCGGCGCCCGCCGCCGCTTGCTCTTCGGCAGCGCCGCCTGGGCCGCCGCCGCGGACGCGGCCGCCTCCGCCTCGGCGGCGGCCGCGCGCCTCCACTCCTCCACCGCCTGCCAGGCTTCGGCCGCGGCACGGCTGCATGCGACCTGGGGCGAGATCGCACACAGCGGGCGCAGCGCGTTGCTGTCCACATGCTTCCATTGCCCACTTGCACTGCGGCCACGGCCCATGTGGCCCGCGTGCAAGCCCGGTCAAACAAAGCCATTCACGTATTAGATATCAGCCCATCTTCAGGGGCTTGCTGCAGCCGCACCTCGTAATTGTTGCCGTCCCCGTATGCGTCGTCGAGGTTTGGCCGCACTGCGAGAGCGTCGCAGTCCGCCGCCCTGATGGCGTCCTTGATGGGGTGGAAGTCCGATATGGCGCCCTGCAGCTGGATGTCGGCCAGAAGCTTCTCCTTGGGGATCCTCAGGAAGGGCGGCGCGCCGGGCTGCGCGGCCGCCAGCGAATCCAGGCACATGGCGGCCGCAGTGCCGCCTGGGAGCGGCAGCGGCCAATGGCCCGGTGGTGGGGGCACGCTCTTGTTGGAGGGGGGGGGTGAAGCGGGTGTAGGGCGTGCGTTGCTGCATGCGATGGCGCATGCATGTTATGTGATTTAAGGGTGCGCGCCGTCGCTCTTGTCATGGCTGCAACGGGCCCGCCTGGGGCGTCTGAGCTCGCCGCGAGCAGCGAAGCACAGTGCGCGCACTCACTGCGAAGGAAGATAGACAGCGCGCCTGGCACCGGCTGCTTGGCTCCATCCTCGCCAACCACATAAGGCAGCGGCTCAAGGCCCAGCCGGCCTGCCGCAGGTGAGCCCGCATCGGCCTGCTCAGGCTGCTGCACCACCTGAGTTGCAACCGCGCAAGGGGCAACAGCTGGGAACGGGCGTGTGGTGACGTGACGTGTGGTGCGCTGGTCGACTGCCGATTGTTAATTGACGAAGATCCCTCGCAAGACAGACATGCAGTCACCGTGAACACTTGCGATTGCCACCCACCTCCGCAGATCCCAACCCCGGCTCTCCCCCACCCATGGCGATACACGATCAATTAAATTCAATATGTAGCAGCTAAGTATGGTGCATGGGAGAAGCGCGCCAGATCATTCGCTCAGGAGCATCACGTCGCGCAACTAGCCGCAGCGAAGGGCAGGAGAAGCGTGGAGGTACGCATGAAGATACAATTGTTGGATAATGTCCCCGCACAGACGGGACTGCTTCGATTTGTGCACCGGCCCCTGCGCAGTCAACACTCCTTTGACTGCAGCACTGCAGCGCTGCAGACATTTTCAGCGGTCCAACGGCTGCACACGCAAGCGCTGTCCTGGACAAGTGTGGTTGATCCCTGCAGGAGGCATACAGCACAACATGCATAAGGAGGCGCAGGGCCCAATCAAATTGAGCCGCCAAAATGAGAGTGCATTTGACAGAAGAATCCATGAGATTTTTGTCAACTCTGCGCGCAAGATAGACAAGGGTAGTGGCGCTCCCAGTTGAGTGCCACGTCAGTCCAAAGGCAACGTGCATTGCGCAAACGCCGCGCGAAATCGAAACCGCCCTGTGACGCCATCTCGTGTGTAATACTATGCACTGCTGCGGCGTGAGTGCAGGTGCCTTTCATCCACCGCACGGGCTGCGCTGTGGTTTCAGCTGGCTTTCACGCAGCTACTGAGGCCTTCGCATTGATGCGGCGCTTCGTGCCGCGTCAGCTGGATGCGCATTGGGCCCCATCGTGGCTGGTGCCACAGCCACTGAGCCACTGCTTGGTGTGGCCTAGGCTGCATGCAGCAGCAAGCAGCACCCACACAGAATTGCACACTCTTCCGGAACTCTTATTGCTGCTGCGGTAAGGCCCGGAACCATTGTAATCCAAATGATACCGTGGCGAGGTGAACTTGCACGGTTGTCGGCTTGGCAGGCATGCGAATGGTCACTGTGTATAAAAACGCAGGATGTATTTCAGGCCTTATCACCCTAATCCGTTGTTTCTTCGGTGTCCGTCGACCCGGTTGGACACACCAGGGCCACTGCGTTAGGCACACCGTGGCCCCTCTGTGTTGCCGCACCGGGAGCCGCCAGGATTGGAGGAGAAAGAATTTCTTCGTAGAGGCTGCCGCCAAGGGAGGACACCCAAATGTCGCCCCTCTGCTGCGTCCCACCGGCGCCGCCAGCACGAGCCCCATGTGCGCGTCTGCTCCTGCCCCTCCTCGCCCTGGCGCTGCTCGCGCCTCGCGCCGACGCGGCGCTGGGCACGTGCAAGGACCTGGCAAAGGGCGTCAAGCCGGCCTACAAGTACTGCCAGGTGCTGAGGGACGGCGTCGCGGCCCTGCAGTGGCGGACAGCGAATAAGGGCGCGGACATTTACTTCCGGTACTCAGTCGCCGCCCCCAGCGACGTCGGATGGGTCGGATTCGGATTCAGTGATATGGGCAGCATGGCAGGTGCGAGACGCAACGGCGGTGGGCCGGCTGCCGCCCCAGATTACGCCCCGGGGCGCCGGGACGCTTGTGTAATCCTCCCCTCATGGGCGAGGGGGGGATTACATGCGTGGCAATTAATCGCGAGCCTCTCGAGCCGCCGCCGCCGTCGCTTCGCCGGCGCGCTTGGGACCCAGTCCGAAGCCGCGTCGCCCCGCCCTGTGCGTAGCGGCACCGCCGCCGCCCATGGCGGCACCGCCGCCGCGCATCAACGGCACCGCCGCCGAGCAGAGCGGCACCGCAGCCGCCCATAGCGGCACCGCCGCGGCGCATAGCGGCACCGCCGCCGAGCAGAGCGGCACCGCCGGCGCGCAGAGCGGCGGACGTGGGCTCCGAGGGCAACAGCACGCAATCAACAAGCCACCCCCCCCCCACGCCTGCCCGTGAAACCCGCGCGGTTGGCAGGCGCGGACCTGATTGTCATCCACGCGGGCGCGGACGGCGCTTGGACGGTCACAGACGCCAACGCCAAGCAGCCCGGCCGGCCCTCCGCGGACGCGGTCCAGGACGTGAAGTTCATAGGCATGGAGTACGACGCGACTAAGGGTTACTGGGTGGCCGAGGTGGCCAGGAAGTTGAAGACGTGTGACGTGGACAACGACTGGCCGATCGAGGGCGGCCGCGGCGGGCACACCGTCTGGTGCGTGCGGCGAGGGGGGTGCGGGTCTGCAATGTGGACGATGCCGCAGGCGCGTTTGGGGGGCAGCGCGGCGCATCGCGCCGCCTGCGAGCGGTGGCGCCGCAGCAGGCTTCCGTGATGGCGCTCGGCAGCGGCTCGGCCGCTCGGCTTCATCACGCTTTGCGCTCATGCGGCTGTTGATGAACCTAACCGCCCCCGCCGCCCCCAAAAACGTGCAGGGCGTTTGGGTCACGCTTGGGCCCGGGCTTTACTGGCATACAGAAGCACCCAGAAGCTTCCCGCGGCTACCTCCCGCTCCAGCTGCTGCCCGCGTTCTCCGCCCAAAAGTCCGCCGCCGCCAAGGCGCTGCGGCTGTCGAGCGGCGCGTTCCCGCTGCCGAAGAAGTCGGGCCGGCGGCGGCGGGCGCTGGCGGGGCAGGGCGGCGGCGGGGACGCGCCGACGGCCGATCAGATCTCTCAGATCAGCAATGACCTGTTCCGGCTGCTCGGCGGGATGTCGAACTCTGGTCCCAAATGCACCCTGAGCGAGTGCGAGGGCGGCGGCGGCGGCAGCGGCGGCGGCGGCAGCAGCCGCGGCGCGGCTGTTGTCGCCGCCGCGCCGACGGGCAGGGTGGCGCCGCAGGCGACCGCGCCGAAGACGCCGGATCAGATGAGGTATCCCGTGATCAAGAATGCAGACGGGAGCTTCACCGCGAACATCACCTGCTCCAGCCCCATCCCCAACGTACTGACGACCTACATGACCTGCTACATAGAATGGCCCTTCGACCAGTGAGTTCTCCGCATCGGCTGTTTGTCATGTTTGATGGGGAAGATCAGGGGCCGCAGCACGAGCCGCGGCTGGGCCCACTGAGCTGCATCTGTGGCGGTCGCCTCCATTTTGAAACCTGTTTGTTTGAGTCCCGGGGCGGCATCAGCACGGGTGGCTGACGAGCCTTGCGGCTCCGCGCCCCTCGGTTACGTGTGCGTGACGTCACAGGGCGTACCACGTGACGTCATATTCCGCGATCTACGGACACCCCCTGGTGCACCACTCTCTGGTGTATGCGTGCGCCATCACGTCGGCGCAGCCCAAGGTGAGCGACTCCACTCTTGTGTGTGTGTGTGTGTGTGTGTGTGTGTAAGTGTGGGTGTTTCTGTGTGTGTGTGTGTGTGAGCATGTGTGCGTGCATGTGTGTGTGTGTGTGTTTGTGTGTTTGTGTGTGCGTGCGTGTGCGTGCATGTGTGTTGGGGGGGACGCGTGCGCATGCGCGTGCGCACACTTGCGGAGTTACAAACGTGTGTCGGCACAAGTACGTGCGTGTATGCAGCATGGGCGTCACACATCTGCCCAGCCGGGCGCCGCGGCCGCACGCCTGCTGCCACGTTCGCAGCCAAGCGG